TCTTAAAGTGGAAAAGGTTGGAGACCCCTGACTTAGATGACCCTTCTGGTCTCTTCCAACTCTATCATTCCTGGCTTCCTGGGGAATTCTGGGCCTTGCAGTCCACGCGTCTTCAAGGGGCTCAGGTTGGAGACCCCCTGCCCCAAGGGGAGGGAAAAGAGGGAGAGAGGGAGCACCCAAGGCAACCCAGTCGAGGGGGAGGGGTGGGATTGCGAGCCTGGGGGCGGCTCACCTGCAATTGTGTGTCTAGGTGTGTCTTTCTCTGCGTCCACCTGAGAGGTGAACCAGGAAGCCACATCCCCAGAGCGGCCTTTCTCAACTCTCCCCTTTAGGAGGCTGGGACTTCAACTCCCAGAATTCACCTGGCCTGTCTTCCCAGGACTGTGAGTTCAGCAGGGCAGGCTGGGGAATTCTGGGAGTTGAAGTCCACCCATCCTAAAGCAGCCAAGGTTGTCAAAAGACGGATTTAGCTGGCTCGGGTGGGGGGGATTTGGATCGAGCAGGGGGTCAAACTCATCAAGTATCATAAAAATATTTTTATAAATATTATACAAAAGCGTGGCCACTTGGAAGCCTTGTGGACTCCAACCCCCAGAGTTCCCCGGCCGTCATGGCTGCTTGGGAGTTGAAGACCCCAAGCCTTAAAGCTGCTAAAAGTCGGGAGACCCCCAGGAGGAGGCCGTGGAGAACCAATCGGGGCATCGATCGTGGCCAAGAGCAGCGTTTCGGATCGAGGGGGCAGAGAAGCCCTGAAGATCAGCCCAGCCCCCCCCCACGCCCCCCCCTAACGGGGCAGGGTCCACACCCCGAGCCCCTCCCCACGCTTACCAGGGTTGCCCCCCCCACCTTGGGAGTGTCTCAGAGAACTGCGGGTGGCCGGTCGGTAGCCAGGCAGGCTCTTCAGCGCGGCGTGGCCGGAGGCGCCATCGGGCGAAGAGGCAGCCAGCTGGATGAGGGACTCCTGGGAGGGCAGGCTGGCCAGCGAGCGGGTGGAGGAGGAGGAGGAAGCCACCGCTGCCGAACGCAGGCGGGTCTTGACCGACTCCTGGTCGCTCTCCCCCGAGCCGGAGGACCGCAGGCTGACGAAGGACTCGTTGGTGCTGTCCAGGGGCTCCAGCTTGGGGTGCTTCTGCGAGGCAACGCAAACAGGGTCAGGTCACACCCCCGAGGGGGGCAGAGGCAGGGGGCCCCACACAGCCATTGGCTCCAGGGGCAGGGTCTCCTGTGGGGCCCCTCTCCCTGGCTCCCCCCTCCTTCGGGGTCCACAGCCCCCCTACCCCCCCTTACTTTGATCATGGTAATGTTGATCAGCTGCGTGGTGCGCCGGCGGCCCGAGAGGGCCTTCCGCCCAGAGTCCAGGGTGATGTTGCCGATGGAGTCGACGCTGTTCTCCAGCTTGGAGCGGGAGCGAGTGGGGATGGGGGTGAAGTAGAGGCTCTCCAGGGACTCCCGCTTGTGGGGCAGCGGCTTGGACGACTCCACGGGCCCTGACTCGGACAGGGAGCGGCGGCTCTTTTTGCTGGGGAGGAGCAGAGAAGCGAGAGCTCAGGGCCGGGCAGAGGCTTCCATGCCCAGCCTGGGGCCAGGCAAAGGTTGCACACAGACTGCCACTCCTGCAGGAGCTGCCTCGGCTGCCGACCTGCTTCCGAGTCCAATTCCAGGTGCTGGTAAGGTCTTACGATGGTTTCGGGCCAGGTTCTTTGAAGGACCCTCTTTTCCCAGTGGGGACACCCACCTGACTCACCAGAGCAGGGAGGCAGGAGATGCAGGGGTGGGATTCTACCGGTTCACACCTAGAACCGGTTGTTAACCTTCTAAGCAGCCCAGAGAACCGGTTGTTAGAAGAAATTACAGGGCTAATCCTGTAAGGAAGGCAGGAAGGAAACATTCTGGTGTTGCTTACAGAAACTGCCTCTCCATTAACCCCTATTACATTCTGGTCAGGACTAGACTTCCTGTCTCAGGAACTTCTCTGGAGTTTTTTTTCCCCTCCTTTGCTGGTCCTTTGCTTGTGTGGAGTGACCAAAGTTACAATGGCACTGAAAAAAGTGACTTATGACCATTTTTCACACTTATGACTGTTGCAGCATCCCCACAGTCATGAGAGACCAGGCGAGGAGATGCGTGCCTTGATGTGAGTGATGTTGAGTTGGCCACGCCCAGCCAGTCACATGACCACCAAGCCACGCCCACCCAGTCACATGACCACCAAGCCACGTCCATCCAGTCACATGACTACCAAGCCGTGACCACCACCTAAGCCACGCCCACAGAACCGGTTGTTAAAATTTTTGAATCCCACCCCTGAGGAGATGTTACAAGACACCCCCCCCTTCAAGGAGGTCCACCTAGTTCTAGTGGGGCCAAGAAGAAGGGCCTTCTCCGTGGTGGCTCCCTCCCTGCAGGGCATAAGGCCGGCCTCCCTCTTCTGCCTTTTTCCAGATGGCCTGAAGACAGGATTTTGCCAATGGGCACGGAGGCCTCCTTGGGATACGGAGCCCATCCGAGGGGGCTGTGGGACTGTTATCAGAGGGGCCGGGGAGTTATTGGGGTATGGGTTTGGGGCCTCACTTCTGTAAGCCGCCGGCTGCAGGCAGCTTTATCAATGTTCATGATAAACAAATGTCTTTCGTGCCCGGCCATAATCTCCCATTCAGCCTGAAGACCCCAAAAGGGCCAAGAGAAGAGAAGGTTTGTAGCTCAGGGTTGAACTGAGGGGTCCTGGGTGCTCTTTGAACTTTGGGGGTGGTGGGGGTGGGGGGGGTTGCAGACGTTTTATGCACAAACTAGGTGACCTCAAGGAAGGCTATGGGGTCCTTGATGATCTCCGAGCTTGGTGGTTTCCTTACAGATGTTTCATGCCACAACTAGGTCATCTTTGGGTAGATTTTAGCCCTGATGGTGTTACCTAGTTGGGTTGTGAAATGTCTGCAAGAAAACCCCCCCGCCAAGCTCAGAGAGGACCAGAGACCCCAAAAGAACCAGATTCCCTTCTGCGGCAGCTTCCCTCTGGCAGCAAAGACCAAGGAAGCTAGGCAGGAGCTTTGGCTTCTGCAGAAGGGGCCGTCCTCCAGAGCAGGGGTCTCCAACCTGGGCCACCTTAAGACCTGCGGACTTCAACTCCCAGAGGAACTCCGCAGGTCTTCAAGGGGCCCAGGTGGGAGACCCCTGACTTAGATGACCCTTCTGGTCCCCTCCAACTCTATCATTCCT